TGGAGGGTCAGAGAAAAAGAGGAAGACCCCCAACGAGATGGATCAGCCAGGTGGCATCATTGATGGCATCAAGTGTGGCAGCAGTAGGTAGTGAGGTTGGCCCAGGATCAGATATTGTTTCATTCTGCTGTGCATGGGGTTGCTATAGGTCGGTTCTGACTCGTTGGCACCTGACAACAACAGTAGGGTTTCTGAGGAGCAGCTGGTGAGTTTGGACCACTGACTTTGTGGTTCAAACTGACCTTAACGTCAAGTGCTTATTTTATGGCGCCATATTTGTGCTTTATTGACTATTCAGAGGCATTGGACTGTGTGGGTCATGACAAGCTATGGACAACATTGTGAAGAATGAGTATCCCGGAACACTTAATTGTGCTCATGAGGTACCTGTACATAGACCAAGAGGTGGTGGTTTGAACAGAACAAGGGGACACTGAATGGTTTAAAATCAGGAAAGGTGTGCACCAGGGTTGTATTCTTTGACCATACTTACTCAATGTGTATACTAAGCTAATAATCTGAGAAGCTGGATTATATGAAGAACATGCTATCAAGATGAAGGAAGATGCATTATAATACTCTGTGATATGCAGATGGTACAACCTGGCTTGCTGAAACCAAAGGGGAGTTAAAATACTTACTGATGAAGCCTTTAGTGTGGGTTCCACCTTAGTGTAAAGGAAATAAAAATCTTCACCACTGGACCAATAAATAAAATCATGGTAGTGGAGAAATGATCAAAGTTGTAAAAGACTTCATTTTGGTTGGCTCTACCATCAACACTGATGGAAGCAGCAGTCAAGAAATTAAACAACATACTGCATTAGGTATATCTGCTGCACAAGACCTCTTTAAAGTGTTCAAAGCAAAGGTGTCAGTTTGAGGACTAAGGTGCACCTTACCCAAGCCATGGTATGTTTAATAACCTCATATGCATGTAAAAGACAATGAATAAAGAAGACCGTAGAAGAATTGAAGTATTTGAGTTGTGATGTTGGCAGAGAATATTAAAAGTACCATGAACTGCCAAAAGAACAAACAAATCTTGTTGGAAGAAGTACAGTCAGAATGTTCCTTAAAAGCCAGAATGGCCAGACTTTGTCATGCTTCAGACGTATCAACAGGAGAGAGCAGTCCTTTAAGGACATCATGCTTGGTAAATGGAGGGTCGGAGAAAAAGAGGGAAGAATCCCAACAAGATGAGTTGTATAGTGGCAGCAGCAGTGAACTCAAACATAACAACAATTGTGAGATTGGTGCAGGACCGGGCAGTGTTTTGTTCTGTTGTGCATAAGTCGCTATGAGTTGGTATTGATTTGATGGCACCTAATAACAACAGAAACAACAATTTAATTCAACATAATGTTCTCCGGTTTCTTCGATGTTATGAGGGGTTTCGTCAGTTCACATAATTCTTCAGTGTTGCTTAATATTCCATTGGCTGTACATACCGTTTATTTGTGTCTTCTTCCATTGATGGTCTATTATGTGTTCTCCATAGTGTTGCTGTTATGAATAGTGCTGTGATGAACATGGGTGTGCACAGATCTATTTATGTCGTGGCTACTATTTCTCTGGGATACCAAGTAGATAGATTGCTTGGTTATATGGTATTTCTATTTCCAACTTTTTGAGGAAGCGCCATACTGTTTTGTTTTTTTACAGTGATTGCACCATCTTATAGCAGTGTATCATGGTTCCAGACTCTACACATCCCCAGCTTTTGTTGTTTTTCTAATTTTTTTTTTTTTGAACTTTGCTATTAATGTTGGAGTGAGATAATACCTCATTGCTATTTTGATTTGCATTTTTGTAATAGTTAATGAGCATTTCTTCATGTTTGTTGGCTGCCTGAATATCTTTGTTGAAATGTCTGTTCATGTCCTCTGCCCATTTTTGTTTGGATTATTTGATTTATTCTTTTTTTTTTTTTTTCTTAAATGTTTTATTGTGAATTATGTGATAGTTTACATGGGAGAACATAAGTTTTACATTCATTCTATTGTATATCGTCTCATTGCCATAGTTACAATCCCCTCCATGCAATCCTTCCCCCGTAACCCTCAGGTCTTCAGCACACAGTTGGTTTCCCTCTCTATTTGATTTATTCTTGATTAGGTGATAAAGTTTTCTAAAAAGTTTAGAGATCAGTCCCTTGTCTAATATGTCTTTGCCAAAATATTTTTTCCCCAGCCATTGGGTTCTCTTTTTACTTTTTTGGTGACATTTTTTGATGCACATGAGTCTCAGTTATTTAGTTTGTTTTCTGGTCTTTCTGTGTTTTCAGTTATGTTATCTTTGATTCTGGACTGCAGATTCCATGGACGTTGATTTTGGATCGAAGTAGAATGAAATCATTAACAATTTTGCTGTTTGATCTCTTTGTCCTAATGTTGTTGGTTGGTGCAGTTGTGAGGATTTTTGTTTTTTGTATGTTACAGTGTATAATCCACGTTGGATGCTGTATTCTTTAGTCTTTAATAAGTGCTTCAAGTCCTCTGCTTTCAGCAAGCACATTGTTAATGAATTTTCTCCAGTCCTGATGCCACATTCTTCTTCAACTTCCCAGATTATTGGTTTACAATACAGATTGAATTAAATATGGTGAAAGGATAAAATCCTGTTGTACACCTTTGTATAAACCATGTGGTGTCCTCTTGTGTTCAAATGGCAGTCTCTTGTTCTATATACAGGATCTGCATGTACACAATTAACTGTTCTGGAATTCCCATTCTGTGAAATGTTATCTGTATTTTGTTGTGGTGCTATGGGATCACCCGTGGACTGTGAACCACTAGTTGCTCCTTGGAAACACTGTACAGGGTTGATATGAGTCAGAATCGACTTGATGGCACTTAACAAACACAGTCGAATTCTTTAGTATAGGTAGTAGACACAGGTATAATCATCTTTCTGCTATTTTCTGCCTTTAGCCAACATCCATCGGGCATCAGCAGTGATATCTCTCATTCACACCATCTTTTGAATCTGCTTGAATTTCTGGCAGTTCCCTGTTGATGTACTGCTACTCTGTAATTACATAGGGCACAGAAATTCCTAAATCATTAATGTGAAAATGAGATTGGGCATGAAATTGATGATATTTGGGTTTGTTTATTCTGAATTATGTGTAGTTTAACCTGTAAACTTCTCTTCTGGTTTCAGTAGGGTCTTCCTCAGGAAATGGGAACGTTGGAACAGCTACAACAAAGTACTATGATGATATTTATTTTGATTCTGATTCTGAGGATGAAGACAAAGCAGGTAAATAATTGATATTTATCCGATTTAGCAGTTATATTTTATGAAAAAGATTTATTTAGCAGTTTTCTAAAATTCTTTTTTCTCTCTAAGCTCAATCTTTTAAGAAATTACAGGCAATTGATGTGGAAAGCATTGGCAAGAATAGTTGGTGATGCGGTTTGTTGATGACCTGGGCCCTAAGAATGGTGCCTCATGGGTACAGCTGGGGTGAGGGAGAGTGTTCCCTGACTCAGCCCCTTCAGTTCCTTGGAACAGCAACATTTATTTTCAGACTTGCCAATGGTTTCTTTATTTTACTTTCCTGTAGAATTTCCCTGACTTGTTCCTTTTAAATCAGTTTATTTGTTCTTTGGAATTGATTTTTTTATAAAATTTGAGCAATGTTAAGCATAATGACAGAAGATTAAACTAATTTTGTTAGTTTAGTAATTACACTGGAATTCACAGATAAATTTATGTGGTAAAGTAATAATTTTGTATTTTTGTGTATTATTACCTGAAATCCCTGATGTTGCTGTGGGATAAGCACTGGGCTCCTAACTTCCAGGTTGGTGGTTCAATTTCACCAGCTGCTCTGTGGGAGATAGGGCTGTGTGCTCCCGTAAAGATTTAGTATTGAAAACCCTAAGATGCAATTCTACTGGGTCTCACAGGGGCACTGCACTGTGAGTTGGAATAGACTCAATGGTAGTGGGTGGTGGTATGGGTAGGGTACATCACAAAAGTCTACTGTTTAGGAATTGAAGGAGAAAAATGAGGCTTTCTGCTCTGGTAAACATTTACAGCCTCAGAAGCCTTATGCAGGGTCACTATGACCACCACTGCATATAAATTGCTGTCGTTTTTCCATTTATTTTGAAATGCTTTTATTCAGATTGCAGAGACATTTATATATGGGGACTTGTGAAGAATTTAGGAATAAAGAATAGTTTCTAAGCTTGCTTGCTTAGTGTGAAGGTAAAGTGCTTGCCAGCTAACCAAAAGGTTGGCTGCTCCAAGGGAAGAAGAGGTGCCAGTCTGCTCCTGTAAAGAATGCGGCCGAAACCTCTGGGGCAGTTGTGCTCTGTCTTCTAGGGTTGCTGTGAGTTGGAATCAACAAACTTTAGATATAATACTCAGCCATATCCTTCTGTTTTAACATTAGCACAGGTGACCAAGAAAACAAAGAAGAAACGACATCGGATTCCAACAAATGATGAATTACTCTATGATCCTGAAAAGGATAACAGAGACCAGGCCTGGGTTGACGCAAAGAGAAGGGGGTAAGAATTAATGAATAAGAATCTCTAGGGAAAACATTTCTGATTTTCACTACATGTATTTTGAATGTATTTCTGTATGGTTAGGTTTGTTTCTATGTACACCTAAAGAAAGACATTTGAAAAAATCTATTGAGTAGTTTATTTTCAAAGTAACCAGCAAACCTTAGCTAGGTAATTGATTTGTTTTTTTGTTTTTTTTTTTCATTCTGGCTGTAGAATTTATTTTAATCAACATTTAGAAAAGACAAAATCATCATATTTTGGAATAATCTCCTTCCTTCCAACACACACTTTGTCCATCTGTCCACAAGCTTTCATATTCTCTTATTAAAAAATGTTGTGAGCAGAGCTGAGAGCCATAATTCACTGCTGTCTTCGCTGCTTCTTCTTTTTTTTTTTTTTTTAAAGTGTTTATTGTGAATTGAGTGATAGTTTACATGGGAGAACATCTGCTTTGCATTCATCCAACCTTATTTCGTTTAACTGCAATGATTACAATCCCCTCCATGCATCATCATCATTCAACAGCATTTGCTTCCATTCCCTCTGTTTGTTTGTTGTTGTTGTTGTTGTTTTAAATATACTGAAGCACTCAGGAATATATATTCAAACAACCAAAGGGTGCACTCTGCAAGCCTGCCCCCCAGCCGTCAGCACACAGCCCCTCTCCTTCTCTGAGTCCCGAGTCCCCAGCTGCTCCATTTCTCCACGTCATCGTCTCTGCCTCCATCTTTGGTGTTGCTGCATTTCTGGATAGGGCCCTGGTCCCAGGGACCTCCGCTCCTGCTGCTGGACTGCAAAGTCAACCACTCCCCTCCTTTTGTTACAAAATGTCTACCTTTTTACATTTGCAACACTCACAATCAATTCTGATAGTAGTTATTCACTACTAAACCAAAAGAGTCATCCTCATCTCCTTTTACCAGCCCCATCCAGATAGGTTGGAAACCACTCAGTGAAGATTCTACCTTCCCCTGCACCCTCTAAAACTAGGCTCCTTCTTGAAAGCTTGTAAGCCAGTCACTTCGTGTCTTTGTAGCTCCCCCTCCATTTTGCGTAGTCAATATCTAAGTTGCCTATCCCTGTCAACCTTGTATACTGAGGGGGTGGGAATGATCCTTGCTGTAAAGATTCATTCCCCCTTTTGAGCTACTTCGTTCATAAGTATAGCTCAAGTTCATCAAATTGTATCAGATTACTCTTTTTTTCTTCCTCTAGTTGAGTTCTGGTCATTCAGCCATTGAAGCCAGGTCAAATGGGTACTATCTGCAAGTATGGGTGTTCTTGTGCAGTGCCCCTCACTTCTTATCAGCTGGACGCTTCACTCTTCACTCTAGTCCTCTGTGGCAATGTCCTTGTCCCTGGGCCTAGGAAGTCCCAGGACTTGCCATGCTGCTAGCCAACTAGGTCTCAATTCAGGCTGACAGGAGTCTATTGAACGTGGTCGGACTTAGCTTACAACTTCATCGCTGTTTTTCCCCCACTTCCCCTTATCAGTAGATCAGTGTGGTCATCAGCAAGACCACATGCCCGCTCATGGCTCCCCGGTGAACAACTTGCTTGTTCTTGTAGTAGTCAGTTGGAATGCTGTTACTGTTTTTTATTTTTCCTGCTGGTCTTTCTTTTAAGAGTTATCTTCAGTTTATCTAGCTGCTCCAGGCTGGTCTACTTGTCCTTTCAAGTGGAAGTTTCCCACCTTAGAAGATTCTGGATTGGAATCAGAATTCCACTTAAGGTCTTATGCAATGCAAAGACTCCACAGGAAGCCTCCTTCACTGGGCAAGTTCTAACCCTATTTTAGGTATTCAAATCAGTCCTGGTGTGGTGCTGTGGGCTAATGCGTCAGACTGCAAAGTCATTTGAACTGCAAGGTTGGTGGTTCAAGCTCACCAGCTGCTCCTTGGAAACCCTATACTGGGTTGTTATGGATCAGAATTGACTCAACAGTACTTAGAGCAACAATCAGTTATAGGCTGAAGATGGACTTAAAGATTTCTGTGGTGATGTTTCTGGCTATTCCTTACTCTCCCCCTCAAGTGTCTGTTTTACAATAGCAAGCAAGGGAAACCAAGATTCAAAAGACAGCCAAGCATCTTAACATTATTTCCCCTCTTTTACCCATTCAAACCATGCCTCTGGTAATTGTTTTTTAAAACTCTGGCTATGCCTCAGAATCACCTGTGACGATTTTTCCAAGTGCAGTCATCACTGAGTCCTGCTCTGGTTCTGTTAGGTGGGTTCTAGGGATCTGTTTTTTTTTTTTTTTTTTAAAGTCTGATGGGATTTTGATGTACCACCTTTTAATCTCCTCTCTTTCACTTTGTCCTTGTTGCTTTTTTTCGTGTTTCACCCAGGTACCGCTTGCTCAGTTGCCCTCATATTTACTTAACATGTTGTTTTTGATCATCTACTGTGCGAAGTTGAGCTTTGTAACCTTTAAGAGCAGTCAGTGATATGGAGATGGTCAGGGAGCCTGCAGGAGTGTGGAGTTGTGCTGTACCTCCACCTTGAGGAGAGAGCATTCTGTTTGAAAGATTTATTTCGTCTTATTTATTCAGTCAGACTTGTGTGTTTATACTTTGGGTTATAATTAATACTAGTATATTTTCTTGCTCAGTTGTTCCAGGTTTTACCATTAGGAATGCTTCTGTGCCTGTTTTACATACCTAACTCAGGCAGTGGTTTTTTTTGAACACTTGCTTACTTTTTGGCACACAAGGTGAACCATGTTTTTTTCCTGCCCAAGTCTGGTATATTTTCCTGCCCAAGTCCTAGAATCAACTGTTTCTTTAAGAAGCACTACTTCCTTTTACTGGAGAAGGGTAATAGAAACGAAGATCTGTTTTTTTTTTAAGTTTTTATTGTGAATTGAAAGCAAGTTTATAGGACAGATCTATCAGTTCTACATTCAACAAATTACACTCTTTGTTTCATTACAATGGTCATAAACCGCTCCATGTACCATTAGTTAACAGTGTTTCTCTCTATTTAGTTTAGTTTTTTTTTTTTAAGCTCTCAGGCATATTTAAACCACCAAATGGCACATTCTGCAAGTCTGCCTCCTGGCCACCAGCTCTCAGTCCCTCTCTTTCTATGAATCTAGAGTCCTCAGCTGCGCCCTCTCTCCATGTCCTCATCTCTGCCTCCACCTCTGGTGTCGCTGCTTCTCTGGATAGGGTCCTGCATTCTACTTGTGCTTGTCTCCCTTGATGGTTGTCCTGTGGTCTTCTGTTTCTGGACTGTAAGATTAACTACTCCCTGTTTTTGTTAAAAAACTTCTACCTTTACAATTATGACTGTTGCAATTAGTCATGATAACAATTACTATGGAATCGTAAGAATCTTATCCTCATCTCTTTACCAGACCCATCTAGACAAGATGAAAACTCTATCATCACCCACATGCTGGTTTTTTTTTTTTTGTTTTTTGTTTTAAAGCTTTTTGTGGATTGAGTAAAAGTTTACAGTGCAGATCATCAGTTTTGCATTCAACAAATCATACACCTTGTTTCCCTTTGTAGACATCTTTAAACAAATCCATGCAACCAAGTTGGTTCTGACTCAGCGACCCTGCAGAGCACAGTAGAACTGCTCCCTGGAGTTTCTGAGGCTGTAATTTTTTTAATTTATTTTTTTAATATATCTAAGTTTTAATGTGAATTAATGTGATAGTTTACATGGGAGAACATTAGCTTTATATTCATCCTATGTTACTTCATTTCACTGGAATGATTACAGTAACCTGCATGCATCATCAAACAGCCAAAGGGCACATCCCCGCAAGCCTGCCCTCTGGCTGTCAGCACACAAACCCTCTCCCTCCCAGAGTCCAGAGTCCCCAGTTGCTCTATCTCCTCACATTATCGTCTCTGCTTCCATTGCTGGTATTGCTGCTTCTCTGGACAGGGTCCCACACTCTGCTCTTCTCCCATGATGGTCCTAGGGTCCTCTGCTCCTGGACTGCAAGATCAGCCACTTCCCTTTTTTGTTACAAAACGTCTACCTTTACATTTGCAACACTCACAATCAGTCCTTATAGCAATTATTCACTATTGAAACACAAGAGTCCTATCCCTATCTCCTTTCATCTGCCCCGTTCAGACAGGTTGGAAATCACTCAGTGAAGATTCTGCTTTCTCCCGTATCCTCTGAAACTAGGCTCCCTCTTGAAAGCTTGTAAGCCAGTCACTTCATGCCTTTGTAGCCCCCCATTTTGGGTAGCCAATGTCCAAGTTGCCCATCCCTGTCTACTCTATGTATGGAGGGGGTAGGAATGATCCTTGCTGTAAAGAGTCGTTCCCCCTTTGGAGCTACTACATCCACAAGCATAGGTCATGTTCATCAAATTGTATCAGATTACTCTTTTTTTCCTCTTATTTCTTCCTCTAATTGAGTTCTTGTCATTCAGCCATTGAAGCCAGGTCAAATCTGCAAGTATGGGTGTTCTTGTGCATTTCCTCTCACTTCATATCAGCGGACCTTTCACTCTCCGCTCTAGTCCTCTGTGGCCATGTCCCTGTCTCTGGGCCCAAGAGTTCCCAGGTCTTGCCATACTGCTGGCCAACCAGGTCTCAACCCAGGTTGACAGGAGTTTATTGAATGTGGTTGGACTTAGCTCACAACTTAATTTCTGTTTTCCCCCCACTTCCCCTTATTGGTGACCAACGTGCCCACACACTCTTAAAGTAAGCTCCCTCTTGAAACCTTGTAAATCAATCACTTCGAGCCTTTATCATCCCCTCATTTTAAGTAGCTAATGTGTAAGTTGTCCATACTTATCTACCCTATATACAGAGGGGAGAGCATTGCTGTTTGATGTGAAGACTCCTTCACTGTCTGTTAGTATTTAGAGCTACTACCTCCATGAGTATAGGTCAAGTTTATTGAATTGTAGCAGATTTTTTTTTTAAATCTTCTAGTCGAGTTCTGATTATCAAGCCATCAAAGCTAGGTCATATGGGTACTATCTGCAAGTTTGGGTGTTCTTGTGTGTCTCCCCTCACTTCATATTAGCTGTCTGCTTCACTTTCAGCTCTAGCCCTCTGTGACTATATCCTTGTCTCTGGTGTCTGGTGTCCCCAGGTCTCACCACACTTTGGATCAACTAGCCCTTCCTCTTCTCTCATCTCCAGGAGGATGTTTTTTATTTTTATTTTACAACTGTATTTCCTAGTAGTTTTTCACATAGGGGAATGGTAAATGGTAAAACTTTCATCATGACGGTGGGTTGTTTTTCTTGAGATTGTGCTTTCTGAAATGTCTACTTTTTTTCTTAAGATACTAATATATATATATATATATATATATGTGTGTGTGTGTGTGTGTATTTGTGATTTTAAACTCTTATAAATGCATCTACCTTTTTTTTTGTATTTTGTTCCATTTAAGATACATGAGCTGATAGTTTTTACTAAAAGTTTATGTTTTGGTTTAAATATGACTGATCCTTTTGCTTTAAAAAATTCAAATGAAAAACATGGCTAGATTAAAAAAACATTTCTTTTTAAATTAACCTCATGGGGAATGGAGTATGTAACTTTTCTGTTAAATATTTGAGATGTTTAAATATTTGAGATGAAAAGAAAAATAAGTGCCCTTAAGTATTTGAACATACAAAGGGGCTTCAAATTTTATGGGAAAATGGAGTTGCAAGACAATGGAATCAGTCTGCACACTCTTTGAAGCCCCTTGCCCTTTTTATTTTATTCATACCTATCCGATCCTCTAAAACAGAAGTAGTTTTCCCTACATGATGTGCAAATGGTTAAGGGCTGGACTACTGGTGGAAAGGTTGACATTATAGAGATGCCTCAAAATACAGGCCTTTTGAGTGATCTGCTTTCAGTTAAGGCACAGCCTTTAAAACCCTAAGGCAGGGATAACTGTTGTTACATGGAGGGTATTTCAATCAAGGAGACAAAACAGAGTGGTGTATGATTTGTTGGAAGTAAAACTGATGATCTTCTTTGTAAACTTTCACTCAATTTACAGTAAAAACGTTAAAAAAAACAACAACTTTCTGGGGTACAATTGTACTATGCACACAAGGGGTCACTATGAGTCAGTTGGAGCCAACTAACAACAGAACAGAGAGGTTGCAACCATGACCACCCACTATCTGTATTTTTTTTTTTTTTAATGTTTTATTGTGAATTATTTGATAGTTTACATGGGAGAACATTAGCTTTACATTGATTCTATTGTATATGGTTTCATTGCCATGGTTACAGTCCCTTCCATGCATCATCAACCAACCAAAGGGTATACCCTGCAAACCTGCCCCTCGGTCGTCAGCACACAGCCCCTCTCCCTTTCTAGAGTCCCAGCTGCTCCATCTCTCCATGTCATCATCTCTGCCTCTGTCTCTGGTGTCACTGCTTCTCTGGGTAGGGTCTCGCACTCTGCTCTTCTCCTTTGATGTTCCCAGGGACCTCCACTCCTGGACTGCAAAGCCAACCACTCTCCTCCTTTTGCTGCAAAACATTTACCTTTACATTTCCAACCCTCGCAGTTAGTCCTGATAGCAATTATTTACTATTGTGCCACATGAGTGCTATCCCCATCTCCTTTCATCAGCCAAGATCTGGTTTTAATGGTTTTTTTTACTCTTTCTGTTCTAGCTACCATGGTTTTGGAATACAGCGGCGATGTCAACAACAGCCTGTCCCTAATAGTGATGCTGTCCTGAATTGCCCAGCCTGTATGACCACACTGTGCCTTGATTGTCAGAGGTAATGGATGAAGGGTAACAAAAACCAAAATCACAACTTGATGGTCCTTGTGGAACTCAAAAATAAACTTCCCCAGGAATCCTGCTTAGGCTTTATACTCATATAACCTTGGTGCTACATGACTAATCTTTATACAATAATTTTATCATGAAATTTTTTAAGCTCCCTGGTATAGTTCTATTATAAGTAGCTTTCCTGATAAAAATTCATTGAAACTGCATACATTCATTTTGAAAGCACCTAATCTCTCACATATACACTCATGGTCTGTCTTCTATTGTGTTCCCCCCCCCCCCCCATACCCCATATTTTTGTTGTTGTTGTTTATTTGTAGTCTTGTAGTCCATATTATGAATCAAGTTTTACTGAAACTCAGTGGTGAGAGTGAACTTGTTCTAGGAACTAACGAGTGTTTCTGTGTTTTTGTTAAGTGCTGCTGTCACGTTGGTCTGACTCATAGCGACCCTGGTTTCCGAGTAACGGCTGGTGAACTTGAAATTCTGACCTTGTGGTTCAAGCTGACCTTGCAGTCCAGTGCATTAACCCACAGTGTTAGTTCTAGTTTATTCTTGAGGTTTTTGACCATTTGCAGTAATTAGTTTTTGTATTCTCCTTTATGATCTCGTAAGGAGCCTCGGAGATACCATGGTCTAGATGTTGGGCTGCTAACTGCCAGGTCAGCGGTTCGAACTCACCAGCCACTCTGCAGGAGAAAGATAAGGCTGTATGCTCCTGTAAAGAGTTATGGTCTCGGAAACCCTAGATAGGGTTGCTATGAGTCTGAATTGACTCCATGGCAGTTGGTTTGGTTTTTGGTTGTGAATTCTTAATCTTTTTGCATATAAATTGCCACTTAGAATTATTTACAGAATAAAGAAAAAGTAAAATGTCTTGAGTGATTTTTCTTCCAAACTAAAGCACATCGTAGGGTGAAGATTCAACAGTGGAAATTGATGAAAATCATGTTCCATCTTATTAATGTGGATTCTAATAAAATAGAGTAAAAGTGAAATTTATTAAATGAAAAATGTGAAGTTTAGAGAAAGAATGATTTAAGAATTCTAAGGGAAAAATCACCATTCTTCAAGAGTAGCAATGGCTGCCGTATGAGAATTTCATTGGGAAACTTTACCTTATCCACCTTCCAGCCCTGATCTTGTCCCTTGTTCCCCAAACTCAAAGAACATTTAAAAAGAACACAATTTGAGTCCTCGAGGATGCCCAAACCGCCATTTTGACGTGATGTAAATCAAAGAATGCAAAATTCTTCAGGGAAGGGTTACAGAGCTGGAACTTCAGAAGTGTATAGACCTAGATGGAGGATATGTAGAGAAACAAGAGCTTCACATTTTGATATTTTTATTTAATAAAAGTTTCTGAGTTTTTATAGCAGTACTTTTGTCTTACCCTCATACATAGAACACTGGAACTATTTATGATTGACTATATCTTTGAATGTTTGGATAGTTCTTTTTACTTGCAGAAGTGCCAGCTTGCATAGTTCAAATTCCTGGTAGTTGTGGTCAACAAAATAGTAGAGGTCAACATTTGGAATTAATGAATGCACAACCCCAGTTCACTCTTTTTTTAGTAATAAATAAATATATATGTGTGTATACATGGGTGTCCTGGTGTGGCTCCATGGGTTAATGTGCCAGACTGCGAAGCCATTTGAACTGCAAGGTCGGTGGTTTGATCTCACTAGCTGCTCCTCGGAAACCCTATATATACAGGGTTGTTATGGGTCAGAACTGACTTGATAGCACTTATAAACAACATATGTATACCTGCATACACACACATTCACACACATACACACGTATATATGTTAAATATTTCTGTGTCATGAGGCTTAAGGGAGAAAAAGCAACTTACTAAGTGAGGAAAATATATCCATTGCCGGTGGATACTTAAAATTTAAAATGTTACAAGATGGTGTTAAATGGGGTTGAGTCAGTTCCAACTTGTAGTGACCCTGTATAGGGTTTCCGAGGAACAGCTGATAAGTTTGAACAGCCTACCTTGCGGTTTGCAGTCCAGTGCTGATACTACAGTGCCACACCAAGAGTCCGTGTTAAAAGATAGTAATTCAATATTACAGTTGAAAAGTATTAGTGGTATAATCGATACCCACTGCCATGAAATTGATTCTGATTCATAGTGACCCTCTAGAATTTCTGAGACTAAATCTTTACAGGAGCAGACAGCTTTATCTTTCTCCATCAGAGCGGCTAGTGGGCTTGAATTGCCATCCTTGTAGTTAGCAGCTTAACACCTAACTAGGGCTCCTAAGAAATAAGAAAATATTAAATGTTTGAGAACAGGATGCATTATCTATTTATTGTACTGATAGAGTAAAGCTAAGAATGGGCATTATACAGTCAGGAACTCTCAAAACTTTTAAAACTGTTGTTTGTTGTTAAGTGCCGTTGAGTGGGTTCCGAATCATAGTGACCCTGTATAGGGTTTCTGAGGAGCGGCTGGTGGGTTTGAACCATCAACCTTACAGTCCATGCATTATCCTGCAGTGCCACACCAGGACTGTAGCTTCTATTAAAATGTGATGAGAAATTCCCACCGATATAATGGAACCTTGGTGTGGTACCATAGGATAAGCACTTGAACTCACGGTCGGTTTGAACTGCAAGGTCAGCAGTTCAGATTCACCATCTGCTCCTTTGAAGCGCTATACAGGGTTGCTGTGAGTTGTAACTGATTCGTAGGCACTTAACAGCAACAATGAGAGGCATGCAGTACCTCAGGCATCATTGGAAATCAAAAGTTTTGAAAAGATTCTTTAAATATTTTCTCTCATATTTCCAACAGGTTTTATCTTTTGAAGTTTGAAGAGCATATTAAATTTTCTGCTGAGATAAAAGTTACTTTTAAAGCAGTAGTACATTTTTTATATCATTATGTGTTTTAAAATTTTCTTCCTGTTCTTATAACACTTAATGCTGAAATTTGTTCTTTTGTTTCCATATCTTTACTTTGGTTGGTGTTTCAGTAAGTTTTTGATGTTTTCAAATTTTATCTATTTGGATAAATATTAAATAGAACCTACAGCTCAGTTTCTCCATTTAATTTTCCTCTTAGGCATGAATCATACAAAACTCAATATAGAGCAATGTTTGTGATGAATTGTGCTGTCAACAAAGAGGAAATTCTAAGATACAAAACTCCAGAAAGCAGGAAGAAAAGGTGGGGCCATAAGAAGATGCGGTCCAACCATGAAGATGCTACAAAGCAGGTTGAGACAGAAGTGGAAGAAATCTACCACCCAGTCATGTGCACTGAATGTTCCACTGAAGTGGCAGTCTACGACAAAGATGAAGTCTTTCATTTTTTCAATGTTTTAGCAAGCCATTCCTAAATAGTGCAGTTGGCATTTAATTGCCCAGAATTGTGTCTCAGGCAAGTATGGACAGTTATTTTTTTCCCTGCCTGCACAAATCATTTAAGTGACACTCTGAATTGTTGAGGAAGCAGGGTTTCATCTTTATGAAAGATAATGGTTATTTACCTTCATTCTCTGCCTCTTTTTTCAAAAAAAATTTCCTCTAACTGTCATGGGACTGATTATTCATTCCCATTTTGATGGTCATTTGGAAACAGTGGGCTTTTATTTATTAAAGCTCTTTAGAATTAAAACGTTCTTAAGTTATAAGTAATCTTTGTTTCCGATGTTACTATTATTTTTTTGGATGTATACTGATACTCTTGGTGTGATTAAACCAGAAACTTTCTTGACTTCTGTCATACTGTTTTTTGCTCAGAATTATCTATCCTTTGCTCATCTTCCAGGTGAGTGACAGTATTTCATAATTGTTACAGTTACTTGGAGTTGAATTTTTTCTAAAAGATTGTACTTACCAGTATTCTATAAATAACAAATTAACCTATTAATTAGAAATTTGTGAGGAAGAAGAGTAGCCTCACCTCCAACCTTAGACCTCAAAATTTTGTCATGTCTGTTGTGCGTACCATTTATATCTTCTGTTTCCAGCTACAAAAAGTATCTTTTTTTTTTTTTTTTTTACATTAATGACACAAAAATCTGTGTTAACAGTGTGGGGAAATTGCTTCACAGTAATGGTGCATCCAAAAAATTTTTTCAGAATGTTATGACTGGTCTGTTTCCAAAAAAAAATGGCATTAGAAAACTTAAGGTCCTCTTCTTTTTTATTTAATAGAGAAGATATATGGTAGAGTAGTAAGAAAGCAGGAAGTGTGTTTTAATTCAGGCTCTACCTTGTTAATCGTGTTCTTCTGAGCCCATTTTCTCGTCTATAAAATAAAAACATTAGAACATTCATTCCCCACAGAGATCAGGACTCAACAAAGCTTGAGGGGGGACCTATACATATCCTCTAAGAGGACGATGCATTCCCATTAGGAAAAACATATTCTCCCCACCTCCTTGCCTTATGTGTTTTCCAAAAGCCACATATAAAGAGAGCTAGAGCAGGTGGTAATATGTTCTTTGTATGAATAGAAAAGAATCTGTACTAGAGAATTCCCAGCGTCTTTGTTGTTGTTGTTATGTGCCGTCCATCGTGACACTGTCTAGGGTTTCTGAGGAGCAGCTTGTGGGTTTGAAACATTGACCTCATAGTTCAAACCGACCTTGCTGTCTATAGTGTTTTATCCTACAGCGCCACATTAGGACTTAATAGCTAGCAAATGTAATAATTTTAATAATTTGCTGATATGTATTTGATTAGGAGAACTATACAGTTGACCCTTGAACAATGTGGGGGTGAATGTGCTGTAGAAAATCTACATGTAACTTTTGATTTCCCTAAAACTTAGTAGCCTACTGTTGATCAACAGCTTTGCCAATAACATAAGCAGTTGATTGGCACATATTTTGTATGCTGTATGTATGTATTACATACTACACTCACAAAAACTGTATTTTCAAAAATAAAACGGTATTTTGCAAAAGTGCAAGATTTTCAAGCCTGCTGGTACAGCTGCAGCAATGACTTCACAAATTTCCTTTACTTTTTTTACCTGGTTCTTATGATAGATTCATTTATATTGAAATATAGTGGTCAACTGCAGCTGCAGGCCTTAATTCACAGTACATATCAAGCAATTCAACTTTTTTATGTAATGTCATGACTTGGCTGTTTGGGAGCACTTCCCAGCATCACTGGTGGCACTTTATTTACATATGTCCCACTGGTGTTATTCAAGGATTATGGTACTGCATTAAATACAGCGCTAAACATGTGAGAACTGACTTTTTACTGCGATACACAATTTACTGGTGAGACATACTGCTCATGGGATGATTAGAGTCACATGGCGTTTTTTAAAAAAAAAAACCTTAATAGTGGACCCGCATAGAGTCAAGAGTCAATTGTAATTTTTTCTCTGAATGCAAATTTTAAATATATGTTGTTTTTTTATAGCAGATTTCTTGGTTTTCATATTATGATGCTGTTCTAGCCTATTCAGGTGAAGACCTCCAGGGACAGACCTAATAACCCAACAAAGTCAAGTTTATTAAGTGATTGCAATGGGGGAGTTTACACACCAGAGGTGAACCAAAGGATAGCGTTAACATAGGGTTTGGGGAAGGGTGAAGTAGTATAGGCTCAAAGCAAATCAGTGTTTGTGTAAAAATGTGAGGGCTCAGTGTGAGATCTGAACAGTGAAGTGCACCCCTACTCCCCAGTCCTGTTTCTTTGGAAACGACAAAGTTGAGGTGCGGAGTGCAGTGTCTGCATGCCTATTCTGAAGGTTTGCACTGGGCTGTTACTCAAAGATGTTTCTCTAAAGCAGGGGTGGGGACCGTCAGACCTACTGGCCATGTAAGGCCCTCAAAATCATTTGGTCTGGCCCTACCAAGGCAACCGCATTTCCAACCATAGCATTATTTGTTGTTGTTGTTCTTAGGTGCCATTGAGTCGGTACTGACCCTGTGCATAGCAGAACGAAACCTATGCATAGCAGAACGAAACACTGCCCAATCCTGGGCCAACCTCACTACTACTGCCACGCTTGAGTCCATCGATGCTGCCACTTTGCCAGTTCATCTCGTTGGGGGTCTCCCTCTTTTTCTCTGACCCTCCACCTTACCAAACAGGATATCCTTCTCCAGCGACTGGTCCCTCCTGACAATATGTCCAAAGTATGAGAGACGAAGTTTGGCCATCCTGACCTCCAAGGAGTACTCTGGTTACACTTCTTCCAAAATGGATCTATTGGTTCTTTTGGCAGTCCATGGCACTTTCAATATTCTCCTCCAACACCACAACTCAAAAGCATCAATTCTTCTACGGTCTTCATTATTCACTGTCCAGCTTTCTATGAGGTTATTGAAAATACCATGGCTTGGGTCAGGCGCACCTTAGTCCTCAAGCTGACATCCTTGCTCTTCAACACTTTAAAAAGGTCCTGTGCAGCAGATTTGCTTAATGCAATATGTCGTATGATTTCTTGACTACTGCTTTCGTGAGTGTTGATAGTTGATCCAAGAAGAATGAAGTCCTTGACAACTTCAACCTTTTCTCTCTTGATAACAATGTTGTTTATTGGTCCAGTGGTGAGGATTTTTTGTTTTCTATACATTGAGATGTGATCCATACCAAAGGCTGTGATCTTTGATCTTCATCAGTAAATGTTTTAAGTCTTCTTCACTTTCATCAAGCAAGGTTGTGTCATCTGCTTATCGCAGGTTGTTAATGAGCCTTCCTCCAATCCTGATGCCACGTTTTTCTTCATATAATCCTGTTTCTTGTATTATTTGCTCAGCATATATTTAGGTTGAATAATTATATTGAAAGAATACAACCTTGTCACATTTCTTTAATTTTAAACCATTCAGTGTTCCCATCTTCTTTTTGAACAACTGCCTGTTGGTCCAGGTACAAATTCCTCACGAGCATAATTAAGTGTTCTGGAAAATTGGAACATGGAATGTACGAAGTATGAATTTGGGAAAATTCGAAGTTGTCAAAAATGAAATGGAATGCATAAACATCGATATCTTAGGCATTAGTGAGCTGAAATGGACTGGTATTTGCCATTTTGAATCTGATGACCACATGGTTTACTATGCTGGAAATGACAAATTGAAGAGGAATGGTGTTGCATTCATTGTCAAAAGAATATATCCAGATCAGTCATGAGGTACAGTGCTGATTGTGATAGGATAATATCCATGTGCCTACAGAGAAGCCCAGTTAATACCACTATTATTCAAATTTACGCACCAATCACAAAAGCCAATGAAGATGAAATTGAAGAATTCTGCCAACTTCTTCAATCTGAAATTTATCAAACATGCAATCAAGATGTATTGATCATTACTGGTGACTGGAATGCAAAGATTGGGAAGGATCAGTAGTTGGAAAATGTGGCCTTGGTGATCGAAGTGATGCTGGAGATCGCATGATAGAATTCTGCAAAATCAGTGATTTGTTCATTTCAGATACCTTCTTTAGACTGCATAAGAGACGACTATACACATGGACTCCCCAGATGGAATACATAGAAATTAAATTGACTACATCTGCGGAAAGAGATGATGGAAAAGCTGTATATCATCAGTCAAAACAAGACCAAGGGCAGACTGGAACCAGAACATCAATTACTCATACGCAAATTCAAACTGAAGCTGAAGAAAATGAAAACAAAGCCCACAAGAGCCAAAATATGACCTTGACTATAACCCACCTGAATTTAGAAACCATCAGAAGCACAGATTTGATACATTAAACACTAAAGACCAAAGACCAGAAGAGTTGTGAGATGACATCAAGAAAATCATACAGGAAGAAAGCAAAAAGTCACTAAGAAAAAAAAAAGAAGGAAAAAGTCAAAATGGATGTCCGAAGAGACACTGAAACTTGCTCTCCAGCATAGAGCTCCTAAAGCAAATGGAAGAAATGAAGAGGTCCAAGAGCTGAACAGAAAATTTCAAAGATCAGCTCGAGAAGATAAAGCCAAATATTACAACAAAACGTGCAAAGATCTGGAGTTAGAAAACCAAAAAGGAAGAACACGCTCAGCATTTCTCAAGCTGGGGGAACTGAAGAAAAAAATCAAGCCTCGACTTTCGTTATTGAAAGACTCTCTGGGAAAATTATTGAATGATGCAGAAAGCATCAAGAGAAGATGGAAGGAACACAGAGTCACTGTACCAAAAGGAAATGGTTAATGTTCAGCCGTTTCAAGAGGTAGCATATGATCAAAAGCCAATGCTACTGAAGGAGGAAGTCCAAGGTGCATTGAAGGAATTGGCAAAGAACAAGGCACCAGGAATTGATGGGATAAAAGTAGAAATCCTTCAATAAAGTGAGGTGGCGCAGGAGGCACTCACTCATCTCTGCCAAGAAATTTGGAAGACAACTATCTGGC